TGTGTGTGTGTGTGTGTGTGTGTGCGTGTGTGTGTGTGTGTGTCAGACTCTTCGAGGGTGTATTTGTGTACAGTCCTTCAAGGAGTATTTAAAAATAAACTAGCTGCACTGGATTGAAATTAAATGTCGTCTTTACAGTCAACTTCCCATTTACCGATGTTAATGTCTGCATCATATAACACCGTACATTAAGTTCTCTAGAGATTAAATTCACCAGGGGTAACGAACATCAAAGACTCTAGTCATAAATAAGTTCGCCCTCACACAGAAAACATTTTCAATATAGTATTAAGACATACCAGTCGGTAAAAAGGCGTTTGGGTACATTTTAAAAGTTAACTTTCAAAACGCTTTTCTTCACAAAGCTAAAAGATACATATGAGAATGTATGTGTATGCCACAAACAGGCTTGAACTCTCAAAGTGCTTAAGGCAGAATTACCAGCAACGTAGTCCGCGAGTTATTTCTCGGGCTAGTTGCGTCAGCCCATATTTTTAGCTGTGCCTTCTCTAAAAAGCCACAACACAAAATTTGCATTACTGTTGAATGCGTACATGAACTCACTTTGAGATCGGTACAACTCACTTTTCGCAGGCGTCTAGTATATGTCAAGTCTACACTATCATTATTTGCTGAGTTTTGCACATTCAGAGCTTACAAAGTGATAGCTTTTATATTATTTTACTGGCGACACCAGTGCCTGAGAGGTGTCATCTCTGGCTCAGAGGTTGACGAGTAATGACTCACCATTGTCTACGGTCTCCAGCTTCTTGTTTCTCTCATGCTTTTTGTAAGAATTGAGAAGGAATACAGCAGATATAAACCTTGAAAATACAGAAATGTGGTTTAAGTGAAGACTATTTAGAATTTCATAGACCGAAAATAGATTTAGATAAATTGAGGTTGTGCTGAAAGAAAAACAACAACAACAACAACAACAACAGTAACAACAACAACAACAAACAAACAAACAAACAAACAAAACAAAACCATCGAACCCAAAAGGCCTTGTAAATCTTCCTGTTGTTTGTGTGCGCATCATATTGCAGCTCATCAAAATAGGCCAAGAATAGATGCACCGTTCAGCATATCTAGTTCCCTTTTCAGCTCTTGTTACTATATCTGTACAGGATGGGAAAGGATATGGAGGGATTCTGGTGTGTTATAGAGCCGAGTCAATCACCCCTGAGTTCTTGCTTACCTGATAGAAAAGCTTAGTTGCTAGGTAAAAAAAAATCACTTTTTGGTTAATTCAGTCATTAAATGTAATAATGGAAAAAACATAATATCATACCGAAGGAATCATCAGATATTTCTACATTTTGTCATGCGTCTGATTTCTATCAGTATCAGGAATATTATATGAGTAGAATCTAGATCTAGATCTAGATCTGTATAATTTTAAAAGTGCTTGAACTCTTTATAGACTAATCCTCCTTCAAACAAAGCCGATTTTGACCTCCAAATTTTCTTTACTTTACCTTACTTTACTTTTATCCGCCGCTTATACCCTTTTGGGTGTCGCGGGAAGAAAGAGACGTCTCTCTGCCACCAGCAGGAGAGCTTGGGTCAGGGGGATGCCGTGAGTTGTTATTGTTTCCCTGACTCCATCTCTCCGGTCTTTCTCGGTCGCCCTCTAGCCTTGTTGCCATCGATTAAAAAAAAAATGTAGGTACGTTGTGCTGGGTGGTGTGTTGGTAATCGCATGAGATGTCCGAACCATTTTTTATACTTTGTTGTTGGATGTGATGCAAGACATCATTTGTGCCCACCATTTCTCTGATTACTGTGTTTCTAATTTTGTCTCGCCTGGTCTTGTTTACTGCTTTTCTAAGGCATCGCATTTCACATGTTGCTGTTGATGTCCATGTCATAGTTGTTACATCTGGTGGTGTGGTGTTGGAGACTTCGTTTATCTCTGTGTGCCAGGCTTTGGTCATCTGAAAAGAGTAATTCATTTAGGGCGTCTGGTTCTGTGTTGGCCTCTTTAGTAATTTTATCCATATGATAAATAGTAGTATCCAAGTTTTCAGCTTCGCAAAATTCCTAATTACTCTGCTCTTATTTCACCTTTTGCATGTATAATAAACACCACTCCCGCCCCCACCCCACCTCCCAACATAACTGAATAGAAATGACTGATCCAAGAAGTAAACCTACTTTTAGATCGTAGGTTTTGTTGAAGTTTTGGTAAATGTTTGTTATTATTGTGAACAGCAGAGTGATGCTGCGCGCCAGCTGAACTGGCGTGCTGTATGCTGAGAGCTAATGTTCGGTCTATAACCTCGCAAATGATTGTGATTGGGTAATAAATCATGTACCCTGTAGAGAGCACAGATTTCTGAATAACTACATGCTTAAACAAACAGACAGGTATAGGACGTGCATGATAGATGTACAGCCGAATGCACATATCTGTAGTCGTCAAGAAAGACTGTAAGAAATAAAACTCCAATAATAAGAAATGGTTGTTGCTCCTAGTCAAACGAAAGCATGGATGTTAGTCCTTGGGTCCAAAGATTGACAAAAGCAAAGATAACCGAATAATGAATAGGTGGTTTTTCATTCGCTAGATCGAAATTTAGCTATTGAATTTTTCTTGAGTCTGAGCGTGAGAAAAAAAGAGCGACAAAAAATTGTAATCATCATAGTCAACATAGATGAAGCTGTAAACAGATTATAATATTATGTAGCAGAATACCACCAGCTCCACGCCCAGTCTGTTCAAGGGAAGTTGTGAAAACTAGCCTCAAATCCTAAACTAGTTTTCTTCGGTTATTTCCCTTCAATGAGAAGATCCTCTTTTTCAACAATAATGTCGTCTGTTGCTATTTCGCAGTGTGCACATGTGTATATCCCTCTCTCTTTCTCTTCACCTCATTCTCTCTATCTCGCTATTTATACTTGTCTCTGTCTGTCTCTGTACTTGTCTCTGTCTCTGTTTTTGTCTGTCTGTCTGTCTGTCTGTCTGTCTGTCTGTCTGTCTGTCTGTCTGTCTGTCTGTCTCTCTCTGTGTCCTTCCTCTGTCACGCCTCTCTCTGTGTCCTTCCTCTGTCACGCCTCTCTCTCTCTCTCTCTCTCTCTCTCTCTCTCTCTCTCTCTCTCTCTCTCTCTCTCTCTCTCTCTCTCTCTCTCTCTCTCTCCTTCTCTCCTCTCTCTGGAATGGTTATGCTACCCAGGTCAAAGGAAACCAACATCTCTTTCTCTTTCATTATTTCAGGCATAAATAATGCTCAACAAGGATACCATTACGCTTGGGGCTACAATTAGTAAGCTCTTCTGTCTTCTTCTATGTGTCCAGCAAGTAACAGGCAAGTATACAATAATTTGCATTCAAGAAACGTCCAAAATTTAATTGTAGGCTTTACGTTTTTACAAAGACATATTTTTCTTTAGTGCTATGTGGGTTTGTGTATGCAGTACAGCTTCACTCTGCTAAGAAGATGACTTCCATCTTGAAGACACCCAACACATAGATATAAAAGCTTATCGTCTTATGTATTGTAACATAGGAAATTGTACTATTCAGCGGCTACTTATCACCTTAAAATAACCAGAATTGAAACAAATTTCGTTTTTCTATTTGAAATCTGTACCAGAAGAATTTAGTAAGTTCGTGAGATCTTGCATTCATGTATTTTCAATATAAGAATGAACATTTATTCAATAGTTTTTATTGGTTGTACTGTTTGAACAATATGTGTTACGTTTGCTTCGCAATATATGAATAGTATTAATAATAATGATAATAGTGATACTAATAATAATAATAATAATAATAATAATAATAATAACAATAATGATAATAATAATGATGATAATGATGATGATGATGATGATGATGATGATCATCATCATCATCATCATCATCATCATCATCATCATCATCATCATCATCATCATCATCATCATCATCATCATCATCACCATCATCATCCAGTGCCAGATCTGCGACAGGCATCAGCGATCATTATTCTCCGTTCATTCCTTTGCTCGGATGCTCTCAAAAAGCTACGTTTCCCTGATTTCCCCCCCTCCCCCCTTCTCTCTCTGTCTCTCTCTCTGTCTTTTTCTCTCCTTTCTCTGGAATGGGGATTTTTTGGGGCAGTGGGGGAGGGGGGGGGTTGGTTATGGTACTCAGGTCTAAAGAAACCAACATCTCTTTCTCTTTCATTATTTCAGGCATAAATA